AAAAATCACATCGACAATCAATAAAGAAAATATTTTTTTTATCAATATCGGTCATTTGAGGTGTATCCCTTAAACATGCAATAATCATAAAATAAATTTCATTGAGAAGTTTAACAAAATCATCGCGTGCATAAAATAAAGATTTCTTTGTATAATCAATTGCATAATTAAATGAATCAACATTCCTCTCAGATTCCAGTAAATCGACATTACATACTTCACATTTTTTATAAATATTTGTTTTACATTTTTTTATTATATAACCAGCAACATATCTTTTCGCCTCAACATGTATAATCGATTCACTTGATGTTATTTCATTCAAAGCAGTAATTAAAGAATCAATTTCGCATGCAAAATCAGTGTAGCAGGGAGAGTCACATTTTTCTAACAATAAAAATTTCAACGATTGCAATTGCTCATAATCATCTTTTTCACAATTAGCATTAATTGAATGGCTTGAATTTATGTTATTAATCAAAACTGTTTTAAATGCATTCATAAACTGCATGCACGTTGGATTGATATTTCTGATTCCATTACTTCTTATACAGCAAAAGAAATTTTCTAGGGGATCCTGGTTAAAATTTCTCATTATAATATTTTTTATTTTAAAATTTTTTCGTAAATAATTCCACAGTTCTATGATAGTATTTACATTATGTATCCAGTTCTGAACAGATGGGATTTTTTCATATTTGACAATTTTTGAACCATCTTTTTGTATAATATGTTTTTCAAATTGTATTGATTTTAAAATCGGGATTATTTCCTGGGTCCAGAACTGAATATGTGGGGAATTATTCTTAAGACACCCTTTAAGAACTTTTGCTGTATCACAGTAAGAGTGACCATTAAAAGAATCGAACAATTTGTCAAATATCAATAAAAGGTCTGCCGTATCTTCACATTCAGCAGGTAGCACATTGCGTCCTGAAAAAAATAATAAAATAATTTATGTAGTAATTGCTGTAATAATATCACGAAAATGTAAGTGTGGCTAGAGTACCAATAGTTCTGTACAACAATTTTAAAACTTTATAAAAGCACTTTGAGTAGCTCGGTGGCGTAGTGGATAAGCGCCGCGGCCCGGTCAGTCACGGGATGGGAGACCAAAAAATTATTATCTCGAGCTACTCCGTGCTTCGGAAGGCACGTTAAGCCGTTGGTCCCGGCTGCATTTGCAGTCTTTAATACCCTCCAATCCGCATTGGCCCAGCGTGGAGGGTCATGGCCCATGCTCCTTAACCATAAGGAAGGCCCCTGCAGTGGGGACGTAAAAGGGCTGGTGATGATGATGATGATAAAGCATAAGCACTGTACATTGCTAAAATAGAAAGACAAGTAAATTATGTCCAAGTTCTTTCCCAGTATTTGTATGAATGATGGAGGTTATCAAATTATAAATAAATACAATTAAACTTACGTGCTAAAAATCCCATTACTGCTGACACTCTTTGGCTAAATATTTGGGCTGCATATTTAACCTTCATTTTTGGAATTTTTTCCTCATACACATGGTATTCGGTTAATTTATTCAAAATTCTTATTTCGTCTTCACCTGTGTCTTCATTCAAAAGCATTTTTAAATGTTCCCATTTGGCAATTTTTTGTTTCCCATTTTGTTGGAATTTTATATTTTTAGACAGAAAATTATTTCGAATTCCTTTCAATAGATGGGGCGTGTCAAATAAAGGAAAAACTTTCAAATTGTCTATTTCGAAAGAATTAGATTGGTACTCTATATTTTCTCGTAAATATTTCTCCCTTGTCTCTTTTTGGAACATTTTAATTGTGCTAACATTTGATGTTCCTTGATCGCAAATCGTGGCTACAATGATAATACCAGCTTCTTTTAGCTGTTTTATGGTATTAGTTATAATTGTTTTTAATTCGATATTCTTTGTTGCGCTTTTACAGAACGTAAATAAAATTGGTTGTTTCGTTTTAGATTTCACACCTTTAATCATCAACACCAAAGCATGATCTGCAATATTTTTCGTTTTTTTTTGTCCAAAATCTTCAAAACCGATGATTTCATGTTTATTAAAATATAATCCAGGCAATAATGCTACCTCATCAAACAAAAGTATGTAAAGTCTTTTTTCAATAGGTAGGTTGCTTACTATTTTTTTTAAATGACTCATAATTTTTGTGTTCAGCCCTGGCTTTATTTTTATTACCTTTAAAAGTCTTTGCAATGTTCTTTTAGATGGCAGTACTATTATTTTGCGTAAGAAATTGTATGCCTTATTGCTTTGTTTTAAAATGGAGGCAGCCATTACTTTTTCTTCTATCGAAAATTTCATACCTCTAGATTTTTTGTTGCCTTTTAGTTGCATATTCATGAAAACCTTAACAGTTTCAGGCATTGCTTCAACAATTTTTAAAAATGATTTTTTTTCTGATAATTTTTTTATCATTTTCATTTTAGTCTGCTGACTTTTACATTTCTTTGTTAATTTTAAAATTTTCTGAGATAACCTATGGATTATATTTTTTTGTTTTTTTCTTGTTTGTTCTGTAAACAAATAATTATTACACTTATTAGAGCTATGACAAAACAAAATTATAGCTTAAACATTTTTTACTACCTTCTCGAATTCATCCATAACACATTCACTGGATTGTCAAAAAGACTAGCTTCTTACTAAGTGTTATTAATATAACTTTAGGGATGAAAATATTCTTAATGAAAAATGTATAGCATTGCAAATGCAAAATTGATCAAATATAATATTTAGGGAATTAGAGATGATTTACAAAGGTTTTATGTACATTTCCAACAATTATTAATAAATAGATTCTCACCTAAGCTTTTCAATTCAGTTTTGGATGAAAAAGTCAATGGTTCTGTTGGCGATTCTGTTATATTATGACTGCTTGTTGCAGATGAGGTTGACGGCCCTTCTTCAACTCTAGGATTAGTAGTATCTTCTGAAATAGTAAAATAATCATAATGTAAAAATTCATAGGCATAAACTACCTGATATATGGTCTGCACATTTCACAGAAAATACACAGTATTCTTTAATGGAAGACACACTCATGATAAAGAGCCAAAGTAATACATACTGCCACAGGTAAAAAAGGTAAAATCTAAAGGAATAGTCTTTATTTGTATACACAAATAGTAAATATATGAATGAACAAAAATATTAGAAATGTGTTTTTTCATTTTTATGTATGTTTTGTGTCTCGGTGTATTTTATCATCAAATTGGATTAGAAAGAGTTGCCCTAGCAATTATTTCAAAAATTTTGTTAATTCTTCAAAAATAGACAAACATGAGTAGTTTAGAAATGGGGGCTGCAATTTTCAACACTTAGATGCTTTTATTGGTCCTTTGTACATGACAAATAAATATTAATTCATATTAATAACAACTTAAAATAAAAAATTCTCAAATATTTAAATACAAAAATTAGATAAATGTGATCAAGCTAACAACTTAGTAATTTTCTAGACCGTAAAAATTCCTCATTCTTTACATGTTTCATTTGATAATTAGCTATATTTTTAATTAAAGTGGTCAAGGGTGTGTGAGAATTCGTTCAACATTAATTAAGGTACTTACCCAAACTTTTCAATGTTTCCATTGATGATTCCACTGTCAATTTAAATTCTGTAGGAGTGGTAGTATCTGAAATAGCCAAATAAACATGTTTTCAAGCGGAAGCATTTAATAAAATCATACACATAAAAATAATACATATATTATTCTTATATTTTTAAATTCAAATGTAACAACTACACTGAACTTATATCTATTTAATCAAAACCTATTTGTATTATTATAAAGTATGGTTTATTTTTACATCAGGCTTACATATATGTGAGTTGAATATATGTATTTATTAATATAATAATAAGTATAGTGTTTTAATGCAAAATGCAGTGTTTATATTGTAAATTTTCACTATTATGTGATTATTATTAACTTTTTAGAAAAACATCATGGTTTAGTACCTCACAGCTTGTCTAGTGGTATATATGGTAGTGGTAGTGGTAAGTCTTTGTCTTTAAGACATCAAAAAAGTACTTGAATAAATGTTTACCTTTTCTAAGATGAAGTGTTGGTATTGCATTTCTTGTTAGTCGACCATATTGTGTTTTATAATAATTCTCGAAATGTCTGTGACACAGTCGTATTTGGTTAAATATATAAATATCTCCTTTTTCTCGAGTCCTTTCGTCAAGTACTGACTTCCAGATATTAAATCTTTCATTGTTTTTCTCCAATGGTTTGGGGAAACAATGAAGTGGTTCTGAAATAAATATATTCAATGAATATTATGACAAAAATTATATATTTCTAGGAACATTAAAATTTCTTTCGTATATCGACAATATTATTTATCTCGTTCGGCTTCTCCACACCCTAAATAACAACTTGACCGAGGATTCTTGAGCATGTTTCAGTTCAATAAGCAAAGTCCAGTGAGTGTAGCGAAGTCTTCAAAATAGGCAGAGGTCGGGTCCAATAAGCAGAGCTGGGGTAATCGTGCAATGAATCCGTGTCGGTGTCCTTGTTCAATGGTCAAAATTAAGTTCGAAAAAGCAACAGAAGTCCGTAAAACACGCCAAGTCAATAAGGGAGCAAACAAACCAAAAATATTGTAAACGCGCAGAAGACAACAAAGTTCACAAAACACTTTTAAAGAAACGGAAAATGTCCGAAGTTTGTTTTCTTAACTGTGTTGCCAATAGTTAAAATATTTTCAGAAAAATCTGCAAACATTTTTTAATATTCTATTTTCCAACAAAAAGCACTAAATTTAATTCTTGTAGGAAATCACAATACAATTTTGATTAGTAATTTTTAATTTGTATTATATATTTTGACAACTCTAAAACTTCGTTTATAGCGACATCTAGGCTAGCCCGATGCAAATACAGTAAAAATTGCAACGCCATGGCCAAGAGATGGCACTACTTTCCATACAAAAATAAAAATTTTAATTTTATACTACAGTGTCACCCGGCTGGAACTACTCGACAATGTCTCTTGAAGGACACGAAGAAAACTTTTTTCAACAGTATGCCACTGAATACGAAGCCATCCGTATTGGATCTATAGATGGTATGTTTGAGAAATCAATATTCATAAACAGAATCACGTGTTTATAAAATTTATTTATTTACTAAGTCAACATAACGTTATCGCCGGAATTATTCTTTCAGGAACCGATTCAGAGCCACACGATCGAGCTATTTTGCGGGCACTGTCCTCAGAGTATGTGCCTAATAAATTGGTGAAGGGCAATCCACATTACACTGTATTTGTCGGCAGACTTAATCCAAGAACCACTCAGGTATTATGATCTTACAAATGATGTCTGTACAGTCGATACACAGGTAACCTCCAATAAATGCCATATGGAAGACAGCAAGCTGTAGCCCATCTATGATTCTGCATAGATTGTTTAAAAAAAAAGTAGTAATACATATATGTGAAATCCACAATAGCAACCAAGTGTTTGATCTGTAAATATATCCTTTTACAAGAAGGCTTTTTTTTAAATGAAGTATTTATTGGGTTCGCCGTGGCAAGTTGTAGTGCCAACTTGCCATGGTTAACCCAATAAATACTTGGTGTGGGAAAAATTCTGGAACATCTAATTGCAAGATAGATTGAATAGCTTTTCACCTGTAAGATAAATTTTATTTGTATTTTTATCTCACTGAGTTCAAATTATAGTGAACAAATATAGGTTACGTGTAGAATGCATTGATGTATTCTTGAAACCTTCTCTTACTCTCACTACTAAATTAGAATATTTATTTTATTCTGACAAAAACATGTATGACACTAGTATTGTACTGTATGCTTTTTCTAGGTATAATTGATATTTTTAATATTTCCATGTGTAAACATTGACTGGCATTGTTACTATTACATGAAAAAATTGTGTTTAGTGCACAAATTAGTACATAAAAGAATCTGAGATAAATAACAAATATTAGTCACTATACCTACAGTACTTATGTTAACAACCTCCGTAGCCGAGTTGTTCGCACGCCGGTTTCAAGGTGTCACCATCTCTGAGGTCCCGGGTTCGATTCCTGGTCGGGTTAATGTAGAAAATGAACTTTTCTATATTGTCTAGGGTCTGGGTGTTGTGTGATCTTCGTTGTCTCAGATACTCCATAATACGGGGGCTTTAGCTACTCATCTTGGAATCTGAGCAATGTATGTGATGTTGATTAATATTTAATTTAACTTGTTTAAGGTGTTTCAGAACATATGTATTTTAAGTTTTCATTTTTTATAGTTAGTTTGTGGGCAAATCTTGGAACTCAAATTTGACCTACTTCCCAATGTGCTATATGTTTGAACTTTTGTATAGACAGCATAGACCTGAAAATTAGACTAAAATTAAGAGAGATTGAACAGTTTGTTGCTAATGTTGATATAATGTGCTATGCTTGAAAACACAGATTTTGAGATCTAGATGGATACCTCTTCAATTAGCATAGATGTATGAGTAAAGACTAATTGTGGATGATTTGACTTGTTATCATAAGTATCTAGTGTTACAGTAAAGATATAAAGCTTATACTTTGTATATGTATGTTCTTTGACTATTCTAACAAAATAGAGCTATTTTATGGTTATAGTGGTCCATTAACCTGATGTGCTGATGATTACGGCATTGACAAGATATAAAGTAGAATAGATTAGATTATTACAGTAACTCTAACATAGTCTGTTATTATTTTGCTTTCATATTTTATTTTATTAGAATTTAGATTCACTGGTAAGATTGGCACTGTTTGGGTATCCTGAGTGAGAGATTCGACATAATGATTTAGATAATACCTAAAGTTTCCTGTGTTCCTATAGCTTGGTAATATTTATTAATCTCATGGACAACGACATATAATTAAAAATGACTTGTGGTCCAACAAAAGCTATTGCAATCCCTTTCAAAGAGATAGCAGTTGTTATTTATGAACTTGTGTAATCATTTTCAATATTTAAAAACCTCCAATCTTTCTCCAATTGTGTACTATGTCCTCTCCAACCTTCTGATATCATCTACTGTTCTTTTTTCATAAAAACCAATTTACTGTGGAATATGCTCCTCACAGACATCACAATGAGCACTAGTCTGTATGCCTTCAAAATTAAGTTGCATATTTATAATTACATCAGACAAATTCATGAAGGTTCAGGTTAATCGTCTTCTAGGTCTGTATATATTCATGTATGCAGTGTATATGTATAGGTATGTATTATATTGTATATACAGTGGTCATCATAATTAAAAACACATCTTATTTTGAAGGGGTATAATACTTTTATTTTTGATTTCATGACGTTTGGACTCTTTACAGGTTCCATGTTCACATAAGACTAATATGTTGATTGTCTTTTACTTCTTATGAATAAAATAATAATACAATAATGTAGAAAAGGTCAAAACTAATTGATTTACTCCTTTAGTATCTCGTTTGAAAAATATCCTTTAATTGGATATACATAATCTGAAAAATGCATAAGTGTAAATAATTGAAAATCAGATATTACCTGTTTACACCTGGCACCTCATGGGTTGCGGCTAATTGAGTGTTGGCAACCATGGTTTTTTTGATTCCTTACAACATTCTCTTGCAAATAATGTGGGGTTCACTAAAAAAAATATGACTGCAAATTATCAACAAAAAATTAAATAAAAATAATTGTGGCCAAATTATGTCTAATTGTGTAATTTGCTTTCGGAACAAATAATGATTTAAATGATTAAGAGACAATAAAAACTGGTAAAGTAATGTTTAAATGTAACGCTTGTCTGAGAATATTCCAATCAACGTTAAATGTAACAAAATTGTTATATCTTGAAATAGTTGTAGCGCGAGTTTCGTGAATATCAATTTCAAATGTCAAATTGAAAGGGATAGCAATCAGTTTTAAAGTTAGAGATTCAAAAGTACTTTTAAGAAGTGTATTTGAATAAAGATTATTTCGACTTTGACTAGAGAATTAGGCCTCTGTTATGTGATCGTTGCATCAAACAGACAACATAGAGAGCTATTGTGGCAGTTATACAAGTTTTTAAGGTGGCGCTATGTCTCAGGTCCTGGGTTCGAGTTCCGGTCGGGTGAATGTAGAAAATAAACAATTCACCAGGCCCCCAGGTACACCAAGATAGGATTTTCCAGATTGCGAGTATTGTGCTGCCTTCGTCGTTTCCATAATGCGAGCGCTGTGCTTTAGATTAGCTACTTGATTAGGACCTTTCAACTGTAATTGATATATATATCTGAGCATGTCAGATCGTGGTCTTTATTTATTTATCTATCCATTGTTTTATTTTCAATACCAACACTCGTTGGTATTGAGTTGACAGGCTCAAATTTAGTAGCTATAATATCATTAAAATGTATGACTTACCACAATGTGGCCATTTACAGTATTGATACAACCTTAACTTATTTAATATTCCTTTGCAGGACACAATATATGCTGAATTTTCAAAGCAAGGCAAAGTTATACACTGTCGGCTAGTAAAGGACATTGTTACTGGAAAATCTAAGCAATATGCCTTTGTTGAATATGACTCGTCGAGTAGTGTAGAAAAAGCATTAAAAAATATGCATAAAGAGTACATTGATGGATCGGAGGTGGTCGTTGAGCGCGAAGCAGAAAGGCGACTGCACGGATGGAAACCACGTAGACTGGGAGGCGGCTTCGGTGGCCGTAAGGAGTCCGGCCAGTTACGGTTTGGCTGCAGAGATAGACCATTCAAGAAACCTATATTAATTTCATAATCAAAACTCTGAGTGATCTGTACTTTCGTTAATAAAATTGAATATATTCTGTGTTTTGACATTCTAACTCTAGTTGGTGATGACACAAGAAACTCAGTTGCACTTCAAAAATGAAGCATCAATAAAAAAATGTGTGATGTTTGTTGCAAAGAAATCAAAGGTTGGTGTAAGTCGTTCACGAGAATTGAAGCGATTTTATCTGCGTTAGAGGGAGCGCTGTTAATAATATTCATAGGCTTATTGGCCCTCCTAATACTCCACTTTATAGTCTGCAAAGAACCAACATTTACTACAACAACAACTACTACGTCTCGTTACACGAAAGAAACTATCTACGTTACTGACTACATCGAGACGTACAGTGAGCCCTCCGTTGAACCCATACCTGAAATAACGACCCAAAGGACCACTGAAGCTCACGAAAGCTCGCCCCAGAATAAAGATTGTACATGGACTCCATCTAAGAAAACTCAAGCCACTACTCGTTATTATGAAACCGACTTACTGAAAAACACACGTGACAAAAGTATTTCTATACAGTATCCAGTGGTCCGACCCACTGAGGTCATGGGTGCGGCCGACGAGTCGGAAGGAGAGGATGCGGGGCCAGTATTCGAGCGCTGCGTGTTAGCGTTGGTGAAAACGAGACCACACAGAGACATGGTGTTCGGTTGCATCCTCACAATCGTGTCCGATCACTGGACGCTCACGGCGGCCAGCTGCATAGAGGCCATCGAGGAAGTGGACTCGTTAGACTCGTTCGTGATAATGGAGAGCTACGGCAAACTGAGGAACGGCATCGCCCACGGCGTCACCGACGTGCAGATAAATCCGTTCTACCGGGGAACCAACGCCAGCTACGACCTGGCCGCGCTCAAGACTGACGCTTCCCTCGTCGAGAGAAACGGTGTTCCCGTGCGCCTGCCGGAGATGCTCGATTATTTCCTCGTCCCTCCGGGAGAGAAATTCACAATACTGGGCTACGGAAATTACAGGTAACGTACCGCTCCGTGTATTCACAGCAAACTGGACTGCGGCCGACCGCACATCGATCTTCTCTTACGTGTCATCGTTTATTTAACCCGTTGAGCATTTTCGAAACTGTAATTTCTTTGCAGAACGATAAGCAAAAATGTTTTGGGGCGGAGTCTTCGTGAGGTGCACGTGCACAGCGTGCCCAGCGTGCAGTGCTACGTGGGAGAGGACAAGTGGGCGCCGCGGCACCTGTGGGGTGGGGCGGGGGCGGGGGCGGGGGCAAGCGCGGGGGCGGCGTGCGCGGTGGGGGCGCTGTGCGCGGGTTCGCTGTACGCGCGGGGGCTCCCCTGCAACTACTGCGCGGGCACGCCGCTGCTGAACGGTCGTCTACTGCTCGGCGTCATGTCAGGGAACGCCCAGTGCGGTATCACGTGCGAACCTGCTCTCTACGTCAACATAGCTGTCGTCCGCGACTGGCTCGATTACGTAATAGAGTCCGACTGAAGCCAGTGTGATATTGTAGATTGTTGCCCGACCGTTTTGATCAATGCCGGTGTTGAGATCTCGTGAATAAACTATTTTCTTCACTATCACCTTGGAATTTTATTGTATATACTGATAAATAATAAATATTAAACAAAATCACGTACATTGCACAGATCCTAAATTAAAATAGCTAAAACACTTCGTTATAGAAATCTGAAGCAACGAATGTGTCACAACATCCAGATCCGTGCGTACACATAACATCACACCATAGAAACAACACAAGGCACTTTTAAAATCTTCTGTTTTCATTTATTCTTCGATTTATTGCAGGCAAAGAGTAAACTATATATTCAGGAAAAGAGTGCCCACTCTCCAATTTTTTTCGTCATACTCTGTAAATACGTTTACAGATAAAGGTTTAATGGGCTCTTAGAATAATTAGAACGAGAATAAAACATACGTAGTTAGAATAATAAAGTGTTTATTTCAATATATTCTTTCTGTTCTTCTATCACTGTCTTTGTAGTATACTTTTCAACATATTCCAATAGTTTCCTCTTAACGAGCAAGACGTCGTCTTTAAATAGGGCTTTTATTATTCAAAAATTTTTCTACTTGAACTTATAATAAATAAAATTGGTTCTGAAGGAGACTATAAATTAAATTGGAGTCAACAATTGTGTTGCTTAGCAGTGGCGGATTAACCCTGGCTGTACTTATTTGTCTACCGGGTCTCCAATTCGAATTTATAATGTGATCAAAGGGACTTCGCAGTAGAGATGCAACGGATATTCGGATAATATCCGGTATCCGGCGAATACCGGATAGCGTGTCAATATCCGGACGGATACCGGATAGTGAAATATACAAATCTCATTATTATATACAAGGAAAATTGTACCACTTTACATTCATTAATTAATTAGTTTAATACTCAAAATCAACAAGTGGTAAATGGTGGTGAATGAATACCAAACTTTCTGCTTTTGTTGGTAAGAGGCGATTCTGCTTTGCTTCATATACCAGGCCAGCTTCAGGGAATTCCTATTTTAAGTATTTGCCCGAGTTTATGTTGGCAATTTTATCTTTGCCACACTCGAATGTTGAATACGAAAGAGTTTTTAGCAAAGTAAATGACATAAAAACTAAATAAGCGGGGTTAACTCCTTACGAAATCGATTAAAGCAATTTTTTTATCGCAACAGGCCATACAGCGTCACAGAACAAATTGTATTATTTTTTGTTCCTATCGATATAAAATTTCAAAAGCATGAAATAAAAATGTATAAAAATACCGAAATAATTATACTGCCCGATTTTAATTAATAAAAACATGTTTTTTTCTACTCTGACCCAAAACGTATTGCTAAATATTCAAGGAAGTTCTAGCGTATTACAAATTAAAAATACTCCATAATTTTGAAAAAAAAGACGATTTCTACCATCCGCTAGATTTCAGAGTTCATAATACAGCTTATACTTGACACGCTATAAATTCAAATCAAGCTGATCCGGTCATGTAATGCGATAAAGGTCGAATATCCGGTTGCCCAATAACCGGTGCTCCGGCCTCGAAGCTTGCCGAAAATCCGGTATCCGGCCAAATCACTATCCGTTACATCTATACTTTGCAACCATTTGGAAGCCCTTTAGATCAGGAGGCCTGTGGCTGGCCGCTCCATCCCCACCCCTTAGTCCGTGTTCGTTACTGTGAACAATATTAAATCTTTAATTTTATTCACAGTCAAACGGACATTTTTTTACTTACTCTATGGTTCATAAGTCAATTTAGAGAATAACAATTATATTGTCATCAAGAAGTGAACTGAATAAAAGAACTATCATCATTATTAAATGAGACTAAAAGTAGTTTCTGCGGTCCAGTGAGTTAAGTTGGAAGTTACACGCATGTTTAGTTGTGTGTGATGAACAAAGCGTTGTGTGTGTGTTCGGTGATAATGGCGGTGTTCGTGGCGGGCACGTTCGCCGTGTCCATACTGCAGTTTATAGCGGGCGCGGAGGAGGTCGCCGTCACCACCCCGTCCCCGTCCCCGCCCCCGCCCGCCCTGGCACTGTCACAGTACTCTAAGCTTGTTCAACTTTAGTACTCTTGACAAGAAACTTCATTGATCTTAAATAAAAATATTTCTTCGCGCCTAATTTTTTGAATACCTACTTTTGTCAATTACTACCAACCCGCAATTTACGAATGTTCATTTTCAGAACACAGCATTTTCATTCACTTTTGCTCAAATACTGTTAGTGGTCGCATTTGTGACATTCTTCATCCAGTTGACACTGTTTTGAAACAGAGTTTAAAAGGATGACGATATCGAGTTCTTTAACTACTTTCGCATGTCAACAGAAAATTTTAACGCGTTAATTAATGGCAAAGTTAAGTCACAAGTTACCACGACGCAGTAGGACTCGTTTCTGGCATCTTTATATTCGTAGAGTGGATAGGATGCGTTCATCACACACTTCTGCTTTCACCGCCGTCCATTCCACATGTGTCCGTTCGGCTCGACATTGGAACGCTCGCTGAACGAAGAAGCGCGCGTGCGATGGTCAGCGCAGACCGCTAAGCGGTGCCGACGCTTGTCAGCGCTGAGCGGTCGGCGTTAATATAGACCGTTTCAATACATATTATTAGCCTGTCAATGCCGACGGTCAGCGTGATACTAAAACCAGCCTAGATCCGAGATATAAACCGTATAGATACATTCGGTTATCAGTCAACAATAATCTTTCAAAATCAGAATCTTTATGTTTATTACGATATATATTTTTTTTCAATTTCGTGACTTATTTTTCACTACTGAAACTACTCTATCGAGGCCCAGGTTGCATGGTATTTAATAAATTATTATGTCAACTACATTATTTTCTGTGTTTTGTGGGTTAAAGCGATATTTAAAGGCCTCGTTAAACCTCAATGGATGTTTGTGTAACAGACCGTTGAAATAATAATCTTGGTAGCCAATTCAACTATACCGTTACAAGTTAAAAAGAGACCGTGGCGCCTCCAGGGAGGGCTTTTTTTTTGGTCGTGCTTTAATGAAATTAAATGTATTTAACTACTTATATACTTATCACCATTGGCGCCGGCCCGGTCTTGTTAGTATCGGCGGTAATAAGATAAGATTATCAATTATTATTTTTTCTAATTATCGGTCGCAAATTTGCTACGTATCAATTGTATATTTTCGCCATTCCATCTTCATGATCTTGTGGTAATTTTTATACAATCTATACCAAACAATATTGACCTCCGTTTTCACTAACCTAGAACAAGTCATAGCCTAACAAGCTATCTTACAAATCGCCTAAGTAGTTAGTTAAATTCCAAATAATTAATTTGGATCCTTTGACTTATTTATGACGTAATATGCGCACACGCATAGCGCAAGGCGCCGCATAAAGACTTTCATAACTTTAGGTATTGCTTAATTTCGTTAGGTGGTTCCTTCCTAATCATATGCGAAATGCATTTTCATCTTAGGCAATTCTTAGATATTTAGGCGACCGATTTGGCGCATTAGTTAGAGTGAAAACAGGCATGAGATTCTTGCCGGTTATTCTCTGTACAACGTCTGAACCGATGGCATCGAGATTAGACTTTCCAAGTGCCTAGAGTCCTAGGCTGAATAAATTACTTTGATTTGATAATAATTTTTCTGTTGTAAGATTGAACACGACTTTATTTGCGTGTGCATAAATATGTGACTGAAGTCACATTTCAGCAGGCTAGCAGTCATGTGCGAACCAGGCGCTAGAGGTGAACGCTCACCTTAACCATGGTCGTAACCATACGTACCCGGCGATAGACCGTGTTGAAACCGACTCCTCAATAACACACGCCCTTAAGGTCGGTGCAAATTTAGTGGAAGAACCGTCAACATCATCCGTCGAGTGTGCAAAGATGCACGTCATAATATGTATTTGTCTATGTTCTGAATAAATAAATATTTTTAATGAAAAACGTTTAAAAATCCACCAAACCCAAGCACTCTGTGATAGTTCGAGTCTCTAATGGAACCCACGACCTTTCGCAATTCGGGCGACTGCTCTTATCACTGAGCTACTCGGGACCTAAAAGGAATGTCGAATCTTTCAAGTCCAATAAAACTAACAACGTCATAATTTGCCCGAGTAATGATTTGGACCAAATAATATAATAATTCTCAGCAATATATTAAGAAGTTACTTTCTTCGTTAGTTTGATTTTTTGATTACTACTACAATTCGTTTAACACTGACAATTTTTTTTATGATCAAAGCAGTTACATTGTCAGAAAAATAATAACAGAAGGGTCATGTTGAAAACAAACAAAAAAAAACGGGTAGCAAAAAAACAAATTGAAGCTTTAACATAAACATTTTATTTAAATATAATCCGTTTGAATCAATAGTATAATACATAGCAGGGCGACACCTGCGGCCCACATATACAAATACACTACCTCCGCTTGCAAGCAGCGGCCTGCCCGCGGACAGGCCCGCTACCGATATCTTTACTAAGGCATTTAAAATGTTTATACAACCTCCATATACCGTTACATACGAAAAAACATTATCTGTACATCTCTTTTATATTTTACATACAAATGAAGAATTATAAATAAAGATAACAGCAGAAAGTCAGGTTAAAGTATTCGTCAACAGTCGATTATTGTCTATATTGAAATATGAAAAGAATCAAGGAATTGCACTCGATTATTAAACATTAAATTAACATAGCATAATAGTGAAGACATAATTATAAATATTTTATTTAAATTAAACAAGAATATTCATTTAAAGAGTACATTATAGAATTATGTAAACTATTTGATTAAATTATATATTTGAACCGTTACCGAAGTAAAAATAATAAAATAAATTTAACAGTTAAAAATATTGGAATAAACAATGTGAGCTATAGTTGTGAGCGTAACAAAAACGTGCCCACGTCGACACGTGATCGTCGGCAAACTCGCATAATGCAGACGGCAGACGGCAGACCGCTTCAGAGTATAGGGTGGAGTCTCCTAGCATCGGCCCTCTCCTAATATCGAGAAAATGTTATATAACTACTAAAAATATACTACAATCATAATTGT